GATTCGGCAAGAAAGTGGGCGCGTTTTGACCAGGACCGTACTTGGAATTTCCCCGTATAATCCACAACGATACCAATACTTTGCCAACACGTTAAGTGCGCTATTTCCAGAAACATTCAGCAGATGGTTGTGCAGTTGTTGGAATGGGTAACGGCATGACCAATAGACGACTACTAAATATACATCATCAACTTATTGGAGCAAACGTTCGACGAATGTGAAAAGAACCATGAGACGGTCGCTGATCCCAGTACGAAGGCACGAATCTATCGACTTCCAGTCCTACAACGCATTAGGACCATTAGAAACTCACATGTGAGTCTTTCATTCAGTCGTTAGGGTCATTACACACGACAGAGGACGGATTTGGTGGCAGACGCACTGCCAGTACATAAAACAAATATGAGATAAGAAGGTATTATGATCATTAACTAGTTTTCCGTGGAAATCGTGCACGCTGCATTCTATACTGACTTAAGAGAATGTTGGCTGTGGCCTACACTGCGCTGTTTGGTTCAATAGGAGTGGTTCCTGTTGTGTCTGCCCCGATGACCATCTAAAATTACAAATGTCAGTAGCATTGTCGTTGTCTTAAATCTGAACGGTAGGTATATTTTTGAGTAGAATACTACTTTTGTCAGTCTACATTTAGGTAAGTCTGATATTGCAAACCCTCCATATGCCTTTCCACAGCACTCGATTCGAGAATCTCGGGCAAACGGGTAAGTCTTACTTAGCAGGAACGTAACCGTGTCCTGGACATTTAATTAGTGATGTCAGAAGTGTCGAAAGTTGTTGTGTAGTCGACACGATACAGATTCCCAATCAAAAGTCAGGGAAGACGGTTTGAGTTGGACAACCTTTACTGCCTGAGAAAGTGCGTACACAAGGGCTCTGTAGGCAGTCGCCGCGAGCGCGCTCCAAGCAAGCTGTTGTCTGTGTCCGCCTTCGAGGTGTTGTGTCTGCGCGTGTGTGCGCCCTTTGTTGTCTCCACGTCCGCCAGCCAATCAGAGTGGGGACAGCGTTGATTGGCTTCGAGCACTCGCGCGTCCCAGGAGTGTATCGACACGGAGTGTGAGGCGGACAGGACAGCAGCGTGACAAAGGCGGGGGGCGAGGAGACGCGAACCGCCACAGTAACCCTCGACTAGACCGAAGGCGGAGCGTAGCGATGCCGAAGGAACTGTTGATATCTAAAAAAACATGAGTGACCAGACGGTCAGGAAAGTGAACATGGCGTGCGCTACGGGTGATATATACAGGGGCACAGGAGTAGAGTGAGTGGCAGCCGCTAAGATGAGTCCACGTTTTAGCCGACATCAGGTAACCATATTTCTTGACATATGGGTGTTTCAGCGCACAAAATGTGCGGATAGAGGAAGAAGCATACTCAGCCCCGTCAGCCTCAGAAGACGATGTATCTAGATTCAGGCGTGAATTCGAAAGCCAAGCGAACACAGCCAGCGTATCTATCGCGTAGGTTTGTTTTGAGGGCAACATCGTCGTACGCATACTCAGACACGCACACGACAGCTATCAGTATCAATTTATTTCAGGGAATGTAGGTGTGTGCATGCAGAGGAAGTATATGGAGAAAATAGAAAGGAAGTAGCATGAAAGAAATACAAGGGGAATAACAAAATCCGTACAGATGAACACAGAATGTCATGCGTTAACAGAACTCGCTTTGTTTGTTAAATGCAGCAGATAGTTGAGGCACACGTAAGATACAGGAAAAGTAGTAAACTTTCTTAGTGTGCAGACATCGTGGTGAGTACGAGCAGCGCTGCGGACGTGGTCCAAAATTAATAAATTACGCAAATGCATCTTACTTAACTTGCGTTAGTAGCACCGATATAACACTAAATTGACAGCGTTTGCTATCAAGGTGGGCGTAGTCCGGACTTATTGTGGTGCGGTCCCGAATGTTGATCGAGCCTCCCTTTAAAAGTATCTACGGATCCTGACATAACAACATCCTTAAGGAAGGCATTCCGAGCTGCAACCACTCTGTCGGAGAAGAAGAACTTTCTTGTGTCCAGCCGAGCACCAGTCACACGCAGTTTGAGTGGATGGCCTCTCAGGTTAGTCGTTGTCGCCAACTCGAAGAAGTCTCCTAATGCAAGGCAACAGCCCTGATTGCGCACAGGGCGGAAAACCTGAATCAGGTCCCCACGTAGCTGTCTGTAACTCAAAGGAAAGAGGCCAAGATTATCTAATCGTGTTTCGTAGGATAGTAACCACTGCCCGGATACAAATTTCGTTGCTCGCCGTTTAACTTTTTCAAGTATGCATATGTCCTTTGCGGTCCAGGGTTTACATGCTTGGATAGCAAACTGCAGATGCGGTCGCACGAAAGTTTGAAAGACCTTGGCAAAGCAGTCTTCATGAAAGGAGGAGAACGCCCGTTTGATGAGGTATAGAATTGACATCACTGACTTGGCTACCTTTGAGCATCGCAGCGAAGGCTTAAGCAAGGTTGTGATCTATACACCCAAATCTTTCTGGGCGTCCACTTCTTGCAGCGGTTTGTCAGTCAGACGGTACGCCGTGCGGTAAGGAGAACGGGCTCTGCCGACGCGTAGGAATTTACACTTGTTTACGTTGAACGGTAGAAGTCAGCATTCGACCATTGCTCGAGGTGGTCCAGATTTGTCTGCAGTCGCGCCTCGTAAACTTCGCTTCGTATGGTTCCCCAGATGTGTATGTCATCGGCAAACATTGCGACATCGCCATTCAGTTCGTTTGCGCAGTCGGTGACGTATACGAGGAACAGTGTAAGGCCAAGAGCAGAGCCTTGGCGAACACCACTGCTAAGGGCAACCTCGGCAAATTGCTGGTCACTGACGTGGACAGCTTGATAGCGGCCGATTAAAAAGCAGCATGGCTGCTGCATGGCTGAGTTTGTATAGAAGGCGGTGATGAGGCACAGTGCCGAAGGCCCTTTTTATAGTCCATATAGGTGACATGCTCTATATCTCCTCGATCATTAGCCCGAGTTCAGTGTCCCAGACAGTAGAGCAAGTTTGTCACACAGGATCTGATTGATCGGAATCCATCCTGGGAATCGGAAAGCAGAGGCTTTCGTTCAAGGAACTGAATCAGTTGTTGCTTTGTTATCTTCACCATAATTTTACAGCAAATGGGGATGAGGCAGACAGGTCTGTGATTGTTCGCAGAGACCCGACTTCGGCCCTTGTCCAGCGGCGTAATCCACGCCGACTTCCAGTCGGGTGGCAGATGTGCGGTCTCGGAGGATGCATGGAAGAGAATGGAGAGTGGTTTAGCAAACTCACCAGCGACCTCCTTTAAAATCTTCGCCGGAATTGCATCGGGACCTGGTGATTTTGATTTCTTTAGTCTCAGCAACTGCGTCAGAACCATAGCCTCAGTGAGCTGCACCGTTTTCACAATTGTGGTGTCTTCGAAGGGTTGAACGACCGAAGGGTTGAAACATGTTTCGCTACCATAACAGACTGAATTCGACGGTCGTTGCCGACGATGTTTACGGTGTGCCCCACAGAAAGGTGAAGCAGACACGGTGACTTGCGCGTGGATTAATTGATAATGAATTGCATTGCAGCTATCGCACTCCCTCATCCTTAAACACCACCATCTGGGCTCGATATCAAGACAGAGTCCAGAAAGCTGGAGATGGGAAGGGTGCAAGTGCATGGTCTGGTCGAGACTGCACCTTGGCCTTCGACTCCACATCCCCTGGTCCACACAGAAAATGATCAGGTCTTTTACCAAGAACAAAAGGGTGGCTGGCACGATCGAAGCCGCACGTGGGCATGTTGGCACACTTGGCTCAGATCTCACTAAGTCAGAGTGTCATAAACGCCATATTAGGAGGGAGCCATTGCAGCCTGTATCTTAGACCACCCGCCGGTCACTCTTCACAAATACAAAATAATTGGCCGGCTGCGAGGTCCAAGTTATCCCGTCAGTTGACAACTTTCCCAAGCACGGCTTTTAGGGCACCGTGATAGCCCTAAGCGCGTAGGATTGTTTACAGTGAGACAAATGCGCCGAGTCTTCTACCTTACTTTACCTTCCTATTCCCAAACACCAGTTGCTGTCCGAGCCGGCCATTTTACAGGTGTGGGGAATATGCGCGGCGGCCGACATATCAAATGACCTTGACTGCGTACGCCACATGCATGACCTTGCCCCAAAGCACAAGCACCAGGATTTTACGCAACGGGGGTTAAGCGGCGCACATCTCACATGCGTGAGAGTGCCGTAGGTCACGTTGGGAATGATACGTTTCAGCCTGTCTCTCGGACCACCAGTCCGCCACTCCACAAAAAACACACATGCACACACGCACACACAAGTAGACAAACTGCGTCGACGGAGTTGGGATGTCAGTCAGCCGCCCACCAGGCCACGGCTTTTGGCGCGCCGTGAGAGCCTCAGAATCGAATCACACATGCTGCTGGGGAGCCGCATAGGGACGGAGCCGAGACGCACACGTACCACTTCACTTGCAAGCGCCAACCATATGTTTGTGATGGACGATGATGTTGTGTGATGTAGGTGAGGGGAGAAGTGATGATGTCACGTAGTAGTTATAATGCCTCTTGCAATACGCTGTCGGATCAGAAAATACGTTTATTCTGAAAACCAGCAGCATATTCGAGGACAATTTACGCAAGACGGGTTGATTTAATGTGACGGTAGATTTAACCAGATGCGTCGTTGTTACATAGCCTGGGTAGATTGGGCTGCGTGATCTGTTGCCTAGCGCACTTCGTACGCGCTAGTCCGCGACGGTTTGCGTAAGCGACGACACTCGCTCCATGGGCGTGGATGCGGCTAGGTGGACTTTGAACAATTTTAGGCTAAGACGGATACTCCGTCGACAGTTATCAAGTCGGAAGGTGTAACAAGGTCAAAATTGCCTGGACCTATTAGCGTTGACATGGCCACGGTGGTGGCAAGAGGTTATAAGAAATGCATTGACAGTGGCCCGCTATGTACTCGGGGAGCATGGCATACACATTTACCAGGTCTGGTCCGGAAACTCAGTCCTTATCGGGGGCCTTATGAGGTCGTACCGAGCACGATAATCATGTCACTGAAGTCAGACTTTTGGTGTCTTTGCTTGACACTTAATGTCTCCAGTCGAAACGGTAATGTTTACCGCACCCATCTATCGGCATTGGCATACCAGATGATGAGAAGTCAAACTGCATCGGCTCCACTTATAGAAGAAGGCTACTGTAGGTCAAGAAACTCATGGGACTTATCAATCGCATTCTCATGTCATCTAAGTCCGGGATTTTAACCAAACCAGACGTAGCCATCAGGCGCTTAGAATTAATTGTCATTGTATAGATTGTCCGTAGCATTTTGACCGCAATACTACTTCAGACACAGACGACGAAATGACTGAAGACAGATTTCTAATTCGTGGCTCTTTCCGAGGAATCCGACCACACATTCCAATCTGGTGGGGTAGAAATTCCCATGAGAATCGACAATGATGTGAGTCGCGGACTGCTTGAGCGGTGGGTCTCTGCTCCACAGTCCCTTAAGAAGCGTATTGGCATCTGATCGCTATAGTCTGCACTGATTCTTCTTCTACGCAGAGTAGTTAGCAACGCTGGCAGCGCGTGTGTGAGCAGTGTTTCCAGTGCCAGTGTCGATCAGCCAATTCGCCCGAAACGTGTTGGGCATTTCCAAGTCCAGGAATCTAATTCATTTGAACATAGGGGACGATGAGGAAGTACCGGATCTAGCACTACAGATGAAGGTGAGAATACACGACTTCACCAACACGCGGCTATTGACGCGAGCCGGCAACAAGACGGGGCGACAACTATTGGAGGCGTGGGTGTCGGACCCCAACTTTATCAATAAACACATCGATTTGCCTGCGTGCTATCATGCACTCCGCCTACGCAGCCAGGTGGCACAGCTCACATCCTCGCGAAGTACAAACGGCGTCACCACGCCGGGGGGACCATCGTGGACCCGGCGGCACAAACCTTACCTAACCACGGACGTAGTCTCCCCCGCCCGCACGGAACAACGATATAAATGTTCACACTTTGCTGCACTCAAGCAGTCTCTGATGATGAACTGCAGTTCGAGTTCGAAAGCTCAGGCGAATAAATCTACTGTCCCAGTGATCGTGCCTTCGTCTTCTTCTAAAGAATACATTAAACCTAGTTGATCACATTTGACACTTGTGCGCGATCCCCACCACCCACTGCCGACCACTAATCGGCGTGGTATGAGTCAGCAGCTTGTAATATGATGAATGGCGATGTGATTATTCAAGGAAATAAATTTACTTAAAATAAATTTGCAATGCATTTCCACTAAACCCTAACAATCAGGCGCCGACGTATGGCAATTTGATTACTGACAAGCCAAATATATACCTATTAATTCTATCACCATTTGTTCTGATGCAGTCTATCGTATTTGGATAATTCGCCTCCTCTACCGTTCGTAGGGTCTTCTAATTACTCGAACAGAACAGCCTTAGCGTAAGCTGGCATGTCCGCGTTCCACAAAAGCAAACCAAAAGGCTTCTTGATGCTATTGCTATGGCTAATTCCACTGTCTACAACCTTTCAAGTCGTGATTGCGATCGATAGGTCTGCCCTTAAGAGGTTGAGTGCGAACATGCCTTGCACATGTTCATGGTCTTTTCTGTAGGACTGCCTATGTGCAACGCTGGTTGGCTCATTCCTCGCGACAGTTCCCAAGGCAATGCAGTACGATATGTCTGACGACGCCCGACACAAAGCCGAATTCGCAGAAAGCTACTTTGAGGACGCCTATTGTGACACAAAAATGAGATTATTTCACAAATTTCAACAGGCGCGTGAATCTGTCGTCGTGTTTCAACTACCGTCGACGAACTCGCGTCTTCCTTATTCTGTGCGATGGCTATTTGTTGGTCGAAGGGCGCCGTAAGGAAATTAATTCTATTTAGACCATTGCGATACCTTTTCGACTAATACAGCAACTGAAGGAGTTTCAAAAAATAAAGTCCTGCTTGGGCAGTCTCCCTGTTTGCATGAAGACCGATTTTGATATGTGAAGACTCATACGGCCAGGTATAAAGCGTGCAGACTGATTCAACAACTGTCTGACGGAAAATTTCTTTTGTGAAATTGCATATTGTTGGACAGCAGCCCTATAGGCCATGTTGTTCAATCATTCAAAGACCTAAGAGGACATTTCAGCTCCCTTAATCATTGTTGGGAATGTTTCTGTATAAAATACTGTACAATGTTATGTGCCTATTCTCCTCAATTTGGGGAGCTTTTCATATTTAGGCAGCAGCGTATATAATACGTCGAGGGATTTAGAAACGCTCACGGTACACGCGAATATAGAAAAAAATGTGCAACCTGCAGAGTTTGAAATTGCTGCAAGAATGAAATGCCGAGTTCACTTCTCCTTCCTAATCAGAAAACGTGAAAAAGTGATTAATCGCGACTTTATAGGCACGCCTTGGCATAAGAAAAAAGAGTCCTTTATGAAGCCCTTACATCTGCACGTATTTAAAACCAAAGACAGATTGCCCAGAATTCACTTAACGAAATCAGGAAACTTTCTCATGACGTGCAATAGGCATTGTTTTATATAACGGTCTTATCGATATAAGACAGACTGACATGTGTTGTGCAAATACGCTGATTAACCCGACTTATCAGACATGTTCTGGCATCAAATGAAGCACTAGTTAAGCGAACGCACAACTCCCCTAAATCCCCTAACCATTGGACTTATCCATCGAATTAATTGCTGCTGAAACTATGCTCCAAGACCTATTTGAATTGCCCTCCATAGATTGGGGTGCGACTTCGGGTGGCAACGACAACCTTCAAGCTGAAAATAGTCATTCGATTGTACTTCTTGACTGTTATCAATCTGTTTGCCAAAAACCTAGATTTTGCAACGCACCAGAAGCATTTGTCTAGTGCATGGTGCCATAAGTCGTGGTCTCGAGAATGCGTGGGTGGGACACAGAGCGCAAGAATGTGTAACCACGTCTTTGCTGGCTGAAGTGCTTCAGGCGTCAAACAATTTTAAATGAATGTGAGAAATGGCAAAATGGAGATAATAGGAACAGCTGGAATTTGACGATGTAAGCAACAACAACCAAGACTGTTTGAAAGTCATACTGACCTTGGCCGATGCAACCTTATTGTCAGCATCATTACCAACAAGAAGAAGATGAATTTTTCGACAAAAATCTGACCTTTATTTATATCCACGTAAATGTCTGCACTATTTGAATTCACGGATAAAAAACCCATATATATGCACTGTAAACGCAGGCAACGATTTGTTTGAGTGAGCGGAAGTTGTCTTGTCGTTTTGAAAATTGTAATTTTCACATATGGATCCTTACTTCTAATGGGGTCAACATTTTGCACACGCATAATTTAGAAATGAAACGCGCATACTTTTTATAATTTTATCAAAACCGAACATTTACATGGCCAATCTACCTTGCATTCATAGTCGGAAAACGCGGCCGCAATCGAGCAAATGTTTCATAAATTACCTCAGTATAATGGATAAGACATGTTCTTGCGTTTGCGGCAGCAAAATATCTTTATCCTCTCAACAACGTAAAAGCAATGCTCAGATGTGTCAATTTTTTCTCAGTTTAACCATGTTAGAAAGTTAAATATACTGGCATCCGTCAAGAAAACGCAGCGTTAAGGCACTCGTTAAAAAGGCCCTTTATTAAAGTTTTGTAATTGATTAAAAGTATATTTTTGTTGATGTTTATTGCGAATGCAGCTTTTATTCAACGATGATCTTTCATGTTTGTATGTGTCTTCTTATTTGGCCTAAACACTTATTCACACGAAAATTATCTGCTGAACCTCGATTCTTCGGTAAATTCCTTCACGATACATTTAATTTTTAAGGCTTTTAAGCTTTAATCATTCTTTTTAACGCGCAGACCTTATCTACATATAAACTGCAGTTTACATAATTACAACCCTTTTTACGTTTTTAGAATTTTTTACTATTCTAACGAACTGACATTTTTAAACAACATAAAATTACCTTCAATTATACGTTCCTTTTTTTATTCTCCTAAAGTCATTATTTATTATTGTAAGTTTGATGTCTATGCGTTGCAGTCGGCTTGCAAGTGATTAGAAATCATTCGTAAATATGGGCACCTTTCATCATCTGGACAACCTCCTGTATGCTGTTTTGACATGCTTAATTTGACCCTCTTCAGCTTCACTCATTCCCCTTCGCGCTCGATTTAATTGTTAATGTTAAGCATGGCGTTAGGAAATAGCATTGACATTGGGCATCAACCATTGATTTATTGTTACGAAATAAGGTGTTGGCATGTCAATGTCATCAAATTCTTTTGCTTTTTCAGTTACGGCCATCAGGAGGCCAGACAAAACGATGTTTTCATTAGATTTTCTAGTTCAGCCTGATTACGGATCAAGGGTAGGAGTGGGTTTGCCTGGAATACATAACCACTTCACGTGTTACTCTACAGATAAACTGACCAAATTGAAACTAACAGTTCATAGCTGAATACCCTTAGCTATCAAGCCCGCTCAGCGACTACGCGCCATCGCAGGCATGCTACAATCCGGAACTGATATGATAGCACAAATGCCACTTTACACATATAGTTGGCTTAAAGACAAATGTATATCATATAAATAGGATAAACTAGGATCTACAAGTAAACGTAACTTGCAGTCATTTTGAAGTAAGGAGGTAGTCTAGGGGTGCAAACAGAACCGAATTCTTTCTAACACCCCTAGGCCATTTGTTGTACATGCGCGGATGAAATTGAAATTCAAGATCAACTTTGTCATGACCATGACTAACCAGGCATCGTCTAATGGAAACTGCAGGGTGAAATACATGGCCAGAGCAATTTCCCGGAGAACGTCAGCGCCAATGACGGCAAAACATCCGGGGGCTAAATGCGGGTAGTAAGGCCAGGGTATTTCGCGTTTTGAGACGGACCACTTTTCGCAGCGCTTTGAATCCAAATGCCGAATTGCTGGTGAGTGATTACGCGGCAAGCCCCAAATCACTCGTCGTATCTGCGCGTCTGTCAGGGCCCCCAATTCGGCCTTCATACGCCTTACATTGAAAGCAAAATCATCATCAAGGAAGATAAAAACAGGAGGTCGCTGTTGGGAGGTGAAATGCGGCCGACAGAGGGTAGAGGCCCATTGGTATGTGCGGAATAATTTGAGGCTGAGGTTATAGTAGGTGTCCTCGTAGTCACCCAGTACAAGGTCACCGTTGATTCTGGCTTCTTCTGTCAGATTTCTCAGAACTTCCGACCTCTTTGTTTGCATCTCCTCCATGGCCTCACCTGCCCGATCTGGCAGTGAGCTGTTAAAGCCGTCACGTTGGAAGAACCGACCTCCGCTGCTTCGAGGCAATCCCACTGAGAAGACCATAGTCATGCGGAATTCCGGCTCACGCCGTTTTCCCTTAGCAAAAAACCTGCATAGTCGATCACGATCTGCAAAATTGTAGACAGCGGACTTGACTATCACAACAGCATCCAGATTCCTTTTGACTGGTTTTCCAGGCACGCAGACAGTGGAGCTGACTTTCAGGAATCTGATTGTCTGATTGAATATTGGTCCCTGTAACGAAGGAGGAGGCGATTGAGCTAAATGATTGGTCATTCGCTTGTACTACCTGATTTGTAACAAGTAGTCGCTCGATCTGTTTATCAGGCAATAAGTCTACGTTAAATAGTGAAATTAGTAATGGCTGCCGATGGTGGTCAGTCAGTCAGAAATTGTCATTACCGTGCCCCATATCCTCATGGGTATCGTTTGTATGCAAATGGCGACTGTGCCCGAAATCTAAGTATGACCTTCTGGCTTCGACAGACGTCCCAAGGATGTTAAATGGCGCTTACGGCACATGATGTATCGTTCAGATTCGTGATATCAATCCCGGTGCTCTATTTCAAAATGGGATTCGCCATACTTGCCGCAAGTTTTTTTGTCGGAATAGCCAGTGTATTCTAGCTCTACATTTTATCTGGTGATATCAGGCGTCAAACTGTTTGAAATGAATGTCAGACAATGCAAAGAGAAGATAATTTGGACTCCAGGGTTTTGGTCGATTTCACCGAAAGCAACGAGGACTGTTATTTTCTACGACGTGCACCACTTGCATAAGACTCGTATTCAGTACTCAGTTGGCTATGCGTGAAAACATTAACTTGCGTCCGCGTTGTCACCACGAAGTAGAAAAATTAGCTTAGGCCTGGTTCAAGTGATGGGGAGAGAGTCGTGAATCCTCCGTAAAGCTGTAATTTCCTTTGGAATCTTACGAAACACTAAAAAGGAAATTACTGCCCGTCGTTTCTTACACATACTTGAAATGTTGGCACTTCCCTACGGAGATGTGCCCATGGTAGAGCATATTTTTTCATTGTTGTAGAAGCGCAGCCAAACAAGTAAAGAACCACAAACTAAGTCTAGGACAGGCATTATCATAGGATAATTCCTAAACATCTTGAAACATTTATTGTCGCTCAAATCTGTGAATATTTTGACAGGTCAAATCGTTTAGACGCTATTTTGCACGTAATAATAATGTCAACGAGAGCGGCTGATACAGTAAGCAGTGATGCAAACTTATTTTCCTGAATACTCGCACCGCCTTTCAGCATATGGCAAGATGCTCGCTTATGCCACGCCGATTAGTGGACGTCAGTAGGCGGTGGGGATGGCGCACTAGTGCCCCATGTCATCAACTAGTTTTAATTTATTCTCACCTTCGCGTTCAATTTTAGATCCGGTACTTCCACCTTGTGGCCTATGCTCGAATGAATTAGATCCCTGGACTTCGGAATGCCTAACAAGTTCCAGGAAAGTTGACTGATCGACACTGACACTGGAAACGCAGCTCGCACACGCGTTGCACGCGTTGCTAAGTACTCTGCCTAGACGAAGAATCACTGCAGACTATAGAGATCAGATGCCAATACGCTTGTTAAGGGACTGTCGAACAGAGACCCACTGCTCAACTGTCCGCGACTCACATCGTTGTCGATTCTCATGGGAATTTCCGCCCCACCAGATTGGAATGTGTGGTCGGATTCCACGGAAAGAGCCACGAATTAGAAATCTGTCTTCAGTCCTTTCGCCGTCTGTGTCTGAAGTAGTATTTCGGTCAAACTGCTACGGACAATCCATACAATGATAATTAATTCTAATCGCCTGATGGCTACCTCTTGCTTGGGTACAATCCCGGCCTCATGTGACATGAGAATGCGATTGATAAGTCCCATGAGTTTCTTGACCTACAGTAGCTTTCTTCTATATGTGGAGCCGATGCAGTTTGGCTTCTCATCATCTGGTATGCTAATGTTCATAGATGGGTGCGGTAGCAAATTACCCTCCCGACCGGAGGCATTAAGTGTCAAGCAAAACACCAAAAGCCTGACTGCAATGACATGATTATCGTGCTCGGTACGACCTCATAAGGCCCCCGATAAGGACTGAGTTTCCGGACCAGACCTCGTAGATGTTTTTGCCATGTTCCCCGATGTGTTTCTCGGGCCACTGTCAATGCATTTCTTATAAACACTTGCCACCACCGTGGCCATGTCAACGCTAATAGGTCCAGGGAACTTTGCCCTTGTTACACCTTCCGACTTGATAACTGCCGACGGGGTATCCGTCTTAGCCTAAAATTGTTCAAAGTCCACCTAGCCGCATCCACGCCCATGGAGTAGCCCTACAACTGCAGCGTGTCTCACCGCTTACGCAAACCGTCGCCAACTAGCGCGTACGAAGTGCAATTGGCATCAGAGCACGCAGCCAAATCTATCCACGGCATATACAAATGCCGCATCGGGTTCAATCTAACGTCACAGTACAGCAACCCGTTCTGCGTAAATTGTCGAATTGACCTTAGCATTCTTCTTAGAGTATGCTGCTGGTTTTCAAAATAAACGTATTTTCTGACCTGTTAACGTAAGGCTAGAAGTAGTATCATTTCTACGTGACAAGTCTTTGAGCGTCGGATAATTCCGAAGAAACATGTGGAGAACGTATTCTAGGTAGAAACTGTTGTGCAAACGTCAAAATACGAATAGGTAATGCCAAACTTAACAGGTTTATGTAAGAGTTGTGAACACACATTTTTCTGCCTGTGGACTCCGCTGAAAGCAGACGGGCCAGACAGCAATTCCAAAGATAAAGCGTTCAGCGCTCAATCGCAACGGTATCTTTCATATTAGGATGTCGAGAAAGGATTCCGGGGGCTTGCAGACGACTGCATGAATCGCAACTTTTGGCAATCTACAACATCTTCACGACTTCGATGTTGTTTAGAAATTTGCAAGTAAGCTTTCGCAAACATTTTCTGTCAATAATGCTTGTTTATATGCGCAAAATAACATGGGGTTTCTAAAGGTGAGAGAGTTGTCAGCTCGTAAATGACAGTAGTAAATAAGAAGGGTACATTTCCATTGGCATGGCCTCTTGGCGCATCTATCGATTTGTGGAAAAGTTTGTATTAACATATAGCGTAAAACATTCCCTGGGCGGGGGGGCTGACTGTCTGAAAAAATAAATTCATCTATGCACAGCCTAGACCGCATTCTTCATTCATACAATATTGAGTAGGAAATTTGCATCGATTCCTTTACTGGTCGCTCCCTGAATCACCCATTCTCGGTGCAATACACAGGCAGTTTATACTGTACGCAGGACTTATAAATCATATGGTGACATCCAAACAATGCGGCATCCGGCTGCCGAAATCTCTTTTACGCTCATAATCATCAGGAATGTCTTGTACAGTTTGGGCGATTGGTAGCGTAGCCTGCGATGTCATCAAACAATTGACAGTGCGATGTTTATGAAGTACGACAAGCATGCAGATGTTTTGTCGGCCTGCGACCCTCCAAACTAGTACTTTCAGTGCCCAGTGATGGTTTAACAGCGCATGAGCTTGAATCTAGTGAGAAATATGTGCTGAATTCCATAGAGTCGCAGTCCCATGCTTCGACATCAGTATGCGTCCGTGCTCCCATTCACGAGTCGATAATTCATCAATTGGTGGTGTTGGACCCAACAGCAGGGACTTAGATGCAACAGCCAGCCTACGCGTGACGCACAGAACATGGTCAGGCACAGGGCATGTTTCATAAGTGTGTCGGGTGTTTTTAAGGTAGATAGATAGATAATTTTTTCTTAAAGACCCGTCGGAGTCCCATCAAAGCAAGTTAAAATAAATTAACATGCAAGTTTTAGACGAGGTAGGCCGAATCTTTACAAAATGCAATTCATAGTTTCTGAATTAGAAGTCCATTGAGAAACATGATGATTGAGGGGTGAAAAAAAACTCCTTACAAAAAGTTAAAAATGATTGGATTAATTTTACAGGAGAAAAAAAAAACCCTCAATAAAAATGATGACAGAAAAAAGCGAGCAGGACTGGCTTGTAGGTGGCGGTATATAACGAAATGTTGTCGGTCATCGTCAGGGTAGCAATAAATGTCAGCCTTGATGGGTACGAATGTAGGTCAGACAGGACTGGCTTGCATATGGCATTGTATACGGGATTCACAATTGAGATCGTCTGGGCCGGATTGGTAAGCCGTGTCAAAGAGGTCAGACGAGAGGAACCCAGATGCGATCGGCCACAGCACGCTTCGAGCTCAGCCGAGCAGTGGGGAAGGGAGGTACGACCGAACTACTAGTAGACAGTGAATACTGAGGGTTCCGCCGTGAGCGTCGACAGACCGCATGAGGTCGGAATGCGGGAGATGACATCAAAAACCGCGAAAATTGTCGCTATGGGGGGGGAGTGATAGCAGTGGATTTAGAAACCAAATTAAAAAAGGGGTTTCTAATGATATAATTAAGAGTTACCACTTAATCTACCACTAAATCCCAGAACGGCCCTTCTCGAAGTCAAGAATCTGAGTGTTCGGGAATGAGACCGCTAATAGTGCCTTTATGCTTTCCGGTGTAAGATGGTTGCGTAATTTCGACTTGAATACCAGTTACTTAGGCGATAATCTAATTTCAGGCGGAAGATTATTCCAAAGGAAGGCATATTTGGAAGCAAAGAAGATGGAGCGCTTAGATGTAGTACAAAGAGGCGGCGGAATCACCATGCAGGAGTTACGCGTGGCATAAGACCGATCTCTCGGAGTGAGAGTGTCAATGGGCGGAAGAATGGAGCTAGAGTTGATGCGAAAAAGGAAGCAAAGGCCAGCTTCGAGTCTTCTAACCCACAAAAACTTAATGTTCGCCAGCTGACATCTCTGAGTATAAGAAATACTGGAAGAAGCTTGAGAGAACAGTTTCCGGGTGAAAACCCTCTGAACATTTTCGATTTTATTACGGTCGCAGGCGTTCATTAAACCGAAGAAAGGACAGCAGTATTCGAGGGCTGAAAGAACAACCATTTGATAAAGTCTTAGCTTCAATTCCGGAAGGTAAAAATTATGCGATATGAATCCACATATCTGCGCGGCTTTGGCAGAGATTCTATCTGCAGGAGGTGATAAGGCAAGCTTATTTGTATAACTTAGACCTAGGTCCCTTATGGTGAGGCATTCTGAGAGTGGGTTATTCTGGAAAATTATGGGACCAGGAAGTTTGGTAGGACCAAAAGACATGAAACTACACTTGGATGATGAAAACTATATCTGCCATGTCGAACCCCATCTGCTTAAGCGTAGTAAATCGGAATTAATTTTTTTAACACAAACATTTGCGGTGTCCTTAGAGTATGACTAAACACACTTGAGGTCATCGGCATAAGTAAAAGTTTGCGAATTCCTGAGTTCAGTCGAAATATCATTGATGTACAGAAGAAAGAGTAGCGGACCCAGAACCGTGCCTTGAAGTACGCCACTCGTGATCGAGTGGGGTGTCGAGTAGCTATTACCGACCATGACTTTCTGATATCAGTTGGACAGATAGGACCTGATGAAATCGAGTAGAGGCGGCCGGATGCCGAGAGCTTCCAATTTTACTAAAAGACGTATATGGGGCACCTTGTCAAAGGCTTTGCTAAGATCAAAGTAAATAACTACCACTGACCACCGCTCATTACGAAGAGAAGTGATTAGATTAAGAAAAGCCAAGTGGCATGTTTCGCAGGATCGTTCAGGTAAAAATCCATGCTGACTAGAGCTCAGAAGCCGATTAGCTAGACAGAAGTCAAGAATTTCATTGAAAATAATCCATTCAAGAAGTTTTGCTAGAGACGGCGTTTTGTGCACGCCCCGATAGTTATTAACATCGGGCCGAGATTCTGACTTGAAAACAGGAATGATAATTGAAGTTTTCCATGTTTCAGGAAAGAATCCTTTTGAAATATAAACCGAGAATAAATGACTGAGCAATATGGGAAAGTCGGACGCTTGTTTAATAATCGAATTCGGAATCTCGTCCGTTCCTGAGCAGTGTGAGCATTTCAAACGGCTTATGTGTTTCTTAATGAGATCTGAGGAGACATCAATTGTACTCAGTGTCCTATCTGAAAGTGATCGAAAGAAAGGGTCCGGATCGGACTCGGTAGCAAGGTGTTTTGCAAAGAAAGCACTAAACAACTCCGCCTTGTCAGTGTCATCGGTGAGGAAGACTTTGTTATCATTTAGCATGGGTGGAAGTTCATGACCACGCTTAGAGGAGGACCGATGACGGAAGATGTTAGCGACGGATTTGCCAGGGTTCGAATCACTGAGAGCAATTGATTCTCTTTGCCTGGCGCGCGCTAGGCGCATCCTTGAGGCCATCTCAAATATCTCTGTGATTCTAAGATGAACAGATAAGGAACTAGTGGATTGGTCACGCAGTTGTCGCCTCAACATTTTAGGCTGTTCTGAAGAAAATGAGGAACAAGGGAATCTGAAGAATTAGGCTTGAGATATCTACGCGGCACAAACTCTAGAATGTCCTTGAAACATTGGACATGACATCACGAAGAATGGTTACATCGCTACAAGTGAGGAAGCCACACCAATCCAAGGATCTCATATAGTTATTTATTAAGTCGCTATCTACGCAGTCGTAGTTCATGAAAGTCTGAACGGCGCTTGTCTTTTTTGAAAAGGCAAGCGGTAGGCAACAATGAATTAATACGTGGTCACTGTCAAAGAGGTCCTTTTTTAAAGCAACAGAAAGAGGAGCAATATCATTGGTAAAGATTATATCTAAAATGTGATTATCTCTTGTTGGAGAGCGCACCAGTTGGGACCAATTAGAAAAATTGACAATATCTTGAAAGGGCTGGGATCTGGGTGGGCAGCTATTGGAAACCCAGTCTATTTCAGGAAGGTTAAAATCCCCAGTGATTATTTTAACATCGAAAGCAGCTTCCGAAATTAATTTAAAGATTTCACAGAGTTGAGAATCATAACTGGCTAAAGAATTTGGAGGATTGTAGATACAGCCAATAATTGCCTTTCTTTGCGGCGAGAGAATAACAGATGCAAAGCAGAAGTTTCCCGTGAATGAGGAAACATCCAAGTAATAGGGAGAGTGCTTTAGGTAGGATTTAAGATAAAGAAGACAACCACACCCATGCCTAGTCGTGCGGGTTTGGCGGTAAAAATCGAAGTCATCTATGAGAAGGGCAGAGTCAGGAATTAGAGAATGGGTCCACGATTCTGTTACACATATAATATCAGGCGTCATTTCCAGAACAATGGATCTGATTTGGGCCATCTTGTTTATAATTGACCTGGCATTCAATAATATAATACCTGATGTGTTTCGAACGCAATGCTATTTTCGACGTTATTTAAAAAAAATTGGAGGTGGATATGTAAGCTGTGAATTAATGACACTTGGAAAATAAGTACCAGTTAATCTAGAGTTATTGACGTACGGGGAGTCAGCAAGAGAAGGCTGAGTATGAGACCTAAAGGATGTGGGGATATAGTTTTCAAACATTGGAATGCTAGGGGAGTTAGAACATGGATAGACTTGTTGGTAGTTAAATAGTGGAGGAAGGGGAGGAGGAGGGAGCCTAGAAGGAAAGTAGGGGCTAGTGGGCGAGGGTAGGCCGCTATAAGAATGAAAAGGTGGGAAATCAGGTCTAGGTTGGAAGTAAAAGGAGATAGGTTGACGTACCTGAGAGCAATTGACCTTAAGTGGTGGGAAGCCTGAACTAGGTTGGGGCATAAATGATTTAGGGCAATTCATGTATGAATTATTTGCTGGATATATAGTAGGGCTTTGATAAGTAACCGCTACGCAGGACAGAGAATTATTCGGGGATATAATTGGAGGTGCGGGGTTTGTAGACGTGCTGGGCTGAACAGACTTGTTAGATCTAAGAGAAGGCGTCGTACCCCTAAACGGAACTGTACTACCTATCTTTTGGGTCGGAGTCTGATTCAGTTTTCCAGTCTCACCGTTCTGACGCCAAGCCACGGGCGACTTAGCTGTAGATCTTACAGCACCCAGTTGGACAATAGAAGTTATCGGTCTAGCTGATGTAGACGGATTTTCATGTTTCTCAGCGGGACTATCCGGAGGATACGAAATGACAAATGGGGCTGCTACTGCTGCAAGTTTAGGGGCAGGCAAATGCGTCAAGTGGCTTGAGTGAGATGGAGATGTAGGAGAAAGAGGAAGGAGGGAGTCAGATGTCGCAGGAGTAGGACAAGCTAAATCCTTACGGATACTTGTATTATGACCGAGTTGGGGAGCATTAGACTGAGAAGCAATGGGTTTACGTGAGAATAGAGACCCGATTCTACGCTCCATAGGAGTAAGATCATGACAAAGGAAAAATTTTGCCTTCTATAGGTACGCAGTGACACGCTCTCGATGAGTAAAGATTGTGTCAACCTCGATTGATGAAAACAATTTGACTAAGATGGGTGGATTTGTACTACGGGAGGACAAGCGTTTGGCATCGGCTATCTTATACTTGAAACCACATGAATACAGGAAATTGGTCGCAACATCAATTGGCCGAGCAGATCGAGGAACATTTTTTAGCAGGAAGTTGTAAGAACGCTTCTGTCTATCACTAGATTCACTGGCGATCAGGTGAACAAGTGTGTCGAGACGCGTACATTCTTCAGAGGGAATATCGGAGATGTTCCCGTCGAATAAATGTCCAAGAATTGTCAGCAAAGAGCCAAACTTTAGCATAAAGTCATTGCAGTGGACAAGTGCAGACAGATTAAGCTGTGTAGTGTAGTGGCCAGCAGGCAAATATATAATGGTGAAGTAACATATAAGGTTATTTACTACGCATTTAATCACGTTGCCATTGGAGCAATCATTTGACCAACTTCCCTAAACATTGGACTATGGGCCTGTTGTCGGGTCGGTTTTGATCGACATTATACAATGGCAGAGGGGTGCTTACGATCGTTCTTACGGAACTCACTCGTTCCGTCGTGCCTTAGGGGCTCTCTCTCTTTCGATCCCAAACCATCAGCCGCACAGCGGCGCACGATATAGGCAGGAAGTTATTTTATTGTATAATCCCGATCGAAACCGACAGTACAACGGGCCCGTGGCCCAGTCGTTAGGGGCGTTGGCCGCAGGCAATCCTACTCGCTGAGACCCTATTCAGTCTCACATTCGTTGGCAATGGTGATGGACACTGACAGTGAGGAACAACAGGACAATAACATTGGCTATACAGCCGACAAAAACTGCTCAGAATGGGCCACATGAAGGTTTCCTGTTGAGTATTCAGGGCTTGTGTCCACACCCTATTAATCGCGAATGATTATATACATGCGTAATACAGGCAGAAGGAGATTGCGAACATAACGTGTGTGTGAATGGCGTACAACTGAGCGATGACTCGTCAGGTTGAAGAGGTGACATTGACATTCCTGCTAAATAGCTGTTCTTTGACCAATCATGCCAATGGATCAGGTCACACACAGCCAGTCTATATAGGGGGCGTTCGGCACGATCAACGCCTCAAGCAGGGAAGCTATCCGCTCAGATCCTGTTCAATCTTACTTTTGTTGATAATGGCGATTGCCGCTTATGCTGAGGAGAACGGAGGAATAACATCGACTATACAACCGACAAAAAATTGATCAGAATAGGACACATGAAGGTGTCCTGACGAGCATCGAGGGCTAGTGTCCACGGCCTATTACTAACGAATGATTACATGCCAACAAACGCGTATCCCAGGAGTAAACATTTTAGATAACGTCAGGCTCGACAAGGGGATTGCAGATCGGACCATCCTGTCAAATAGTTTAGGGAAGAATTCAATGGTCCTAAATGCATAATACAGACACAGGGAGATTGATAATTCAAGGTAATATTTTGTAATTCCAGTGTCAATGATGTACAACTGATGGAGCACCTGCCCGGTTGGATAGGTAGCACTGACATTTCTACAAAGAGGCCGGTAGGGAACGCAACGTTCTGGCCAACTGCAGGGAAGGGCCGCACAAGTTGCCAATGTGGAGTGGAGGAAGAGAGTTGCGGCGACTTACGCGATGGGAATCGGCTGTGAGAGGGAAGAGCACCGGCACGCAGTTACATAATCGCAATCCCAGATATGCGTGAACAGTATTCATTTCACCGAAAAATATCATTTTATTTGTGGTATTGTCTGCGCGAAACAGTACTACGACCAAAGGGCAATCTCTTGGATGACCAGATCCAGAATATCCATTGCCTAACGAATATTATACGGACACTCACAAAATGATCCAGAACTCAAGGGACATTGAAATATTATAAACTTCGAGAAAATCCTTTTGTGGGTTTTATCTTCAAGCAAATACATTTGGAAAATGGCCAACCCTACGGTATTCGCATAAAATTTAGCCATGGCGTTTCCCATTAACTGCCAGTTCGTTGAAATCAAAAGCAAAATTTTCAAAAATTATTTACCATTTTGAACATACATTAATTTTTTTATGCAAACGAGCTTAAAATGTTCTCCGTTGTTGTTTTGACCTCACCTTGGAGAGCAGCGGAAAATGTTGGCATTTATCTAAGAAATATTATTGAAAATTAAGGCGATTCGCAGCGAATCGGAGTGTTGCGAATTTGGTATCATACCGAATAGACTGCCTGAAATCATTCTGTGCTTTTCTAAGTGCTCTTTTGATATACCTCTCGCGAACTTCCTTTTTCCTACATTGCTCTATATTTGCGCATTATCTTGTATGTTGAATTAAATTTTGCACCGCGCTTGTCTAAACGTGTAAAAGCTTATTGACGGCATAAAATATATTAGGTAGGTTTTACCTTCATTTAAAAGCACTTCGGAAATAACTTCTGTGTTAGATACGGTTGAACTAGAACAAATAGTGAAAAAAAACGATTTGACAGCGGTCAACGGGAGACCAGAAAACCCTATGAAGGAAGAAGGCCGGTGATAAAAGGGCCAATGAAAATAGCAAACACTTCTAAGCTACTTCTCCACGGCACTCGAACCCGGGATCTCAATAACAGCCCCGCCCATGAAAGGTAGTACCGAAAGTACAAATCAGTTAGCAAAGCCAAGAAAATTGCTGAATTGGATGCGCCCAGAACAAGGAGTGGTATTAAGTCAATCATCGAATCTGCAGACCACTATTTACCACCTTCCGCGTCAACGACTTCCTCCAAGTCAATAAAACAGGGACTGGGCTACAAAAATGTGACTAAAATGCGTTCCGCATTCGCCGTCTAACATCCTCAGAGCATCACACGAACAGAGCATCATATACCAATATAAAATACGAATGCGATCGCCATTAGAATAATGTTGCATTATTCAAGGGCACCCTGACTCAAAGACAAATATTCCGAAAGAGCGGGTTTTGAACGATCTACCACTATGTCAAAGCCTGCTCGATAATATGTATATATATACTAGCTGGGCGTGGCCACGCGTTGCTGTGGCTCGGGTGAATCAAAAATCTCCGTTGGATAATAAACCTGCCTCGTCTGCCTTCAAAATAGTGTCGACGGACGTATATGTGACTGCCTCGCTTTGAATCTTAGACTGAATAATATGGTTAAGATAGTGCATGTGCATGTTTTTTTCAGAAAGAATAGCTCGTTCGCTCAATCAGTCGGGATTGTTGAAAGTGGTTTGTATAGTTGGAGACACATTTTCAACCAATTCTTCTTTTGAGGACACCAAATGGCCGAGGCTAAGACGTAGGGAAATCTTTCTTGTAGTTGGATCAGCGAGCACCGTTGCATTCCCAATTTCCTGCAATTAGTTTAAGTTTATTAAGGAAAATATAGGCGAGCGCCTTTGAACTCTCTATTGGTTACAAGTCGTCGGAGAAAAACATTGATAGTGGGAGGGTGAAAAAGGGGTTTTGTACATAATCGCTGTCAGCTAGTCAAACAAGAGTAATCAATAAAGCTTACTAACTAGTTACAATTAGTATAAACAAGTTTAAGTTGGTGCCGGTTATGTGAGTGGATGTAAGGCTGGTAACTGGGAGGCCTGATGCGCGTCAAGTCTAAACTTAAAGGAATTCACACAGGAGAAGGTTGCAACATCGGTGGGCGGGGCATTCCACGCTGCAACCACTCTGTGACTAAAAAAGAACCTCCTTCCATTGATCATTTCTTTCCCGGCGCGTAGTTTTAGGGGATGACCGCGCAAAGTTGGCTTGTTATCTTGTGTGAAATAATCAGTGGGATCTAAACGACAGTCTAGGCCGTTGATAATGTGAAATGCAAGTATAAGGTCACCACGTAATTGCCTGTCGAAAGGGGAAACAGGTTGAGAATTGACAGTCGGGATTCGTAAGACAGCGCTCCCAGACCTTGTGTCATTTTGGTCGCCCGTCTCTGGACCTTCTCCAAAACGGTATAGTCCTTGACAGTCCAAGGTCTCCACGCCTGTATGGCGTATTCTAGATGAGGCCTCACGTAGGTGCTAAATATTTATGAAAAGCTGTCTGGGTCAAATGCCATAAATGCTCGCTTTATGAGTTGCAGTGTAGCCATAGCCGATTTAGCCGCCTTCGCGCAGTGTAGTGTTGGTTTGAGTGAAGATGTAATCCATACATCCAAGTCCTTCTGACTGTCAACCTGTTGCAGTGGTGTGCCGTCTAGAAAGTAAGTGCTGGGGCTGGAGGCTCTGAAGCTACCTAGTTGAAGAAAGTTGTCCTTGCTTATATTAAAGGGCATAAGTTAGCGCTTCGACCAGTCTTCGAGCCTGTTCAGGTTTGCTTGCAGGTGCTCTGCGTCTGCCGAATTGTGAATAACTTTCCACAATGTAATGTCGTCGGCAAACAGGATGGTATCACAGTCTAAGTCCTTGACGCAGTCATTTATGGAAAAGAGGAATAACGTGGGACCTAAGACTGAGCCCTGTGGGACGCCACTCACCACGCTTACCTCTGGGGACTGCTGACTCCCGACCTTCACTCTTTGGGACCGTCCAGCCAAAAAGCTCTGGATCCATACAAGAAGGCGTCCACGAATTCCAGCGTTGCGCTGTTTTTGCAAGAGACGTTGGTTGGGAACGCTGTCGAAGGTCTTTTTGAAGTCGATGTAGATGGCGTGCACCACACTACCTTCATCGCGTGCTTTAGTCCAACGTTCGAGCGTAAAGAGCAGATTCGTGAGGCAGGACCTACCACTACGAAAGCCGTGTTGTGCATCCGAGAGGAGGTGGTGCTGCTCGAGAAACTGCATCAAGGCCTTCTTAATGATCTTCTCCATGATTTTGCAACAGATGGAGGTAAAACTCACTGGCCTGTAGTTATTCGCAGACGCACGACTTCCGCTCCTAAAAAGCGGAGTGATGGTATCGGACTTCCAATCAGAGTGCAGGCATCGAGTAAGAAATGACGTTTGGAAGATCAAGGCTAATGGCTTGGACATTTTGGGAGCTGGCTCCTTCAGCAGCTTGGCAGGGATTGCATCAGGGCCTGGGGAGGTCGATTCTTTCAAATTAAGTAACTCATTTCGAACAATTGCTTCGGTGAAGAATACGGCTTTAAGGGTAGGTATTTCTTCGTCTTCACAAATGAGGGAGAAAAAATCAGGTTCACTTGTCACGACGGACCGGAAGAACTGAGAAATGTGTTCAGTCTTATCCTTGTCATCGGAGATTTCCATTCCCTCGGCTGTTCGCAGCAGTGTGATGGGATATTTTTTCCGCGTGCCCTGTCTTATGTAGCTGTAGAGGACTTTGGGATTAACCCCGGCACGGTTCAGAAGATCCTTTTCAAAGACTTTCCGATCCATGGCGATGAGAATTTTGACCCTAATTTCTCTGTAACTGATAACTGCTTAGGAATTCTGGCGTCCGGTCAGTCAGGGATCTTTTCCACAACATTCTCTTCTTGTTTACTTCCTTCTTCGAGGACGGACTCAGCCAGCGGGGTCTATTTTTTAGTCTTCTGCGCATGACTGGGCAATGGTTGGAGATGAGGTTGTGGACTAACTCTTTGAATTGACACCAAACCTCTTCGACATCACCGGATAGAGTGGATGCCCAGTCGATAACACTTAGGTCCCTTCTCATCTGTTCGAAATCTTCGCGCCAAATATTGGGTCGGGAATCGAGCGGTTGTGCAGTCAGGGAGAATAAGGTGTATTCCCACATGAGAATTACATGGTCACTCTGACCCAACGGGGGAGGCAATTCACAACGTCGATGTTGTCAGACGACTTGGTGAACACAAGACCGAGGCAGTTGATTTATTGGCCCTCTCAAACTCCCGTTGGAAACATTACGTGGTGGGTGAGAAGCAGATTATTGGAGGTACGCAGTAACTGCTGGTCGAATGCTGCTTCAGAGCAGTCGGCTGAGGCCGAGCTCACGTTTATGTGGGGTGCATTAAAATCTGCAACGATGAGAGTAGTCGGTCGCGTTGAAAATAGCCTAAGCTCCTCCAGCAGTTGGGCATCAGTGTCAGGGTCATTTCTCGGGGAGCGATATACTGTCAAGATATTGAGGCTTTGAGAGCCCGGTGCCCTTATGGTCAGCCACAACGCTTCCGTACTACAAGTCAATTGGTCAGTTTTTTCTGAAACGTATAAGTCGATCTTAACAAATTTTACTATGCCTCCACCCCTCCTGTGTTGTCTGTCTCTGCGGAACAGTTGAAATTCAGGGAGCATGAGTTCTCTATCATCTGTTCGGACAGCCATGTTTCTGTTATTGAGATAACGTCTGGGTGGAGGTCATGGGTAAGGATACGAAGTTCATCCAGTTTAGAAAGTACAGTTTGCGCGTTGGTATACACGAATATGAGTTTCGAGTTCATGCGTGATTTTTTATCAACCCCGACACTGGCTACCGTGGTAACTGTGCGGTCATTCGGATCGGCTTGATTCAGAGGGGGGCGGAATGTCGTTTGACTATCCGGTCGTTGTCGATTGTCAAGTCTTTTTCTCCGTTGGTTTGTCGTGTTCTCAATTCTAGGACAAGTTCGCGGCGTTTCATTCTTTCGGCAGGTGAGTAGTCCGGCTGAACAAAACACTCCTTTATGGGTATGTTTCAATCGAAAACGTCTCGAAAGGATTAGTTTCGCCTGCTCATTACTACCTAGCACAATTTTCAGGGGTCTTGGTCGTGTCTGTGGAGCGGCGGTTGTACGGCTATCAAGACGAAACGCCTTTAGGACTGTGACATTTTCTGTTGGTTGCAGGATTTCATTTAGGAGTTTTTGGAATTGCTCTAAGTCAGCAGCGACTTGCTACCTGGGGTACTGACGGAGGACTCCGGGAGATCCTGAATTATGATGTAGTGATCCTTGTTAAGCATTCCTATATGTTCTGCGGTTTGGACGTCGTTGACCGATCCTTTGCTCTCGTCGAAGTAGACTGGCGAAAAGGAGGGGACGGCCGTCTTGGTATTTATGTCCCCGTGAAGTTCGTCCGCGGATCTTGTTGAGGCATCGTGAATAGTTACACAATGTGGTTGATCGGCATCGCCTCCCATCAGAGGGCTCTGAAGAGAGCCTAACCCCCATGAATTAGAGGCTTCCTCGGCTCAGTTCTCAACTCGGTTGACATGGGAATTCGCGGCGGTAACTAATTCCGCCGTGGGTCCATAATCATATGTCATTGCGCTAATTGATAAGCCCTCTTACTTAGGCTCTGGAAATGAGCACACTGTCTGGGGATTTCTACGATTGGGCGTCAACTGCTCCTGTCCTTCCACTTCTTCTGGCGGCACATTTACAGTCGTTTCGTTTTTCAACTGCTTTGCGGGCAAGACCGATATACTCTCTTTCGTATTCTGGCGAATTTTCCCCGTGGTGTTAAGTGTCGTCTTCTTCTTATTCTTTTTTTCATCGGAAGCCACTATTTGCCTACTAACAGCAGTTGTCTTATTCACCACATATTTGCTTTCTGGGGATTCTTTACACTGGATGATTCTCGCTCTACCCCTGGCGGTCCTCTGAAGAAACAGTCTTGTGTATAAGTTCCTTCAGATTTCTTACTTCTTCCTCTAGTTGGTGCATCTTATAGGCTATCGTTTGACAACCATTACATGAATATCCTACGAAATCCTGTGATGACAAATTAACAAAGCTGTTAGCTGTGTGCTCCGGTCGTGCAGCGATAGTGCAGGGGTTAGCGGAGCTGGCTCTAACCTTTGAGGTCCCCGGTTCGAACCCCAAGTGTGAGTTACTTTGAGACACTGGTGCGGCCTCAAACATTCTGGATAACTTTCCTATATACACAAAGTGCGCAGGCTTAAGTATGAAGGAAAGGCTTATATGAGAATACCACAGCTGATCGGTGGTTTTGCAGCTGGACACGCATATTTGTAGTTAATCTTGCCGTCTGGATATGGCGCCAAAAATAAAAGTATTTCAGGCAGGCATATATTTCGTCTGCTGTTACCGATGGAGGAATTAAAGGTAGTGTTCGCCTGAAGTCTCCTGCGAGCAATAGCAGTAATGTCTCCAAATAGTCTACTGTTTCCGCGCAAATCGTGCAGTGTTCGAGCAAAGGGCCTCGAGCGCTTTTTGCCCACGGCTTAAATCCACGTCTAACGAAACAGCAGCAGATCGGTTTGATGTGGACATTCCTAGTTGATTAGAAACTTTGACGTGAATACAGTGTCGCAACACTTAAGAAATTTTTCCCCCACCCACCTGTCTTACGGGATTGGTGGTAGGAGGGGTTGTACGCGTGGGGCCTCTAAAACGTGCCAAACGGCAAGAAATATAATGCGCGATAATTAAAAAATTACTTATCTGCCAAATTGTGTTTAAATGCATTAAAAGAACCTCATAAAGGACCTTCAGGCTGAGAAAGCAGCTTATGAGAAGGCTGGAGGTGGCCTAGGACATCATGCGTTAACGGTATTGGCTGGGTTAGAATGGAAGCCGTATTGGCCAGCGGGGCGACCAATGGGCTGGTTTGAGTGCGTGTGTTGTGCGCGCTGTGCGCGAGGTAATACGTGGCTGAGGTTTTGCCGTTTTCTCAGAAAAGGGCAACAGCAGGGAGGCATCGGGTGCGCGATAGAAGTCATGGCCAATGTACGCCATTGCGCCATACACCGTACGCATACGACTTCAATGGCGGAAGGCCGAGCAGGGGTGGGAAGCGGTACATTAGGCAGTTTATGGTGTGACTATGAATAGGTAGGGCATAAATGTAGTATGTAGTATGCTGTATTGGGAGGCATATAGAACCCTAGGTAAGGTTTAGTGGAGACTGTATAATGTGGGCATTTTAAGAAGATGATCAGGCTCACTCATAACCTGCCTATACATTGGTTAATAAAGTAACCAACTGATGTAGTAGGAAAATGATTAGGGAAGTATTTGGTTGGACGCAAGTACAGAAGATGTTCTAACTCATGAAATGTCAACCAAAATTTCGAAATGCGTTCTCGTTTCGAAAAGATAAATTAAGTGGTGTTGTAAAACTAATCACGATGCAGCATAAATCTATAATGATCCAGATACCGCAAGGTGTCGGCTTTCGAAAGAACTTATTTCCGGCAGCACACAAGATCCATACTCTGCAAAAAATGACTACTTATGTAGTATGCAATTTTCTCATTTATTTTCGATGCCCTTAAAAATGCAATTATATTTCATAGGAAACATTCATAAAAATATTCATTCTCTTACTTATTCGGTAGAAAATCACGTCTTCTTCTAATTTCATACTCAAAAGAAAAATATAATTCGGTTTCAAAAAAGTTTCTATTTGTGAGATTTTTTAATACCCTTAATTGTCCGTTCAGGTAACGTCATGTATCTGCATTTACGAATGTGACTTGTACAGTTAACAATATTGCTCAAATCCACTGCTTATTTTTATGAATCCCATATGGTCTCCTCTTAACACCGTAGAGAAATGCATGGTTTTCCGTACACGGAACATATACAGCTTGTAGTTTTGAAACCCTGAATGCAAGTGTAACAGCCGGTCGGGTTCAAAATTATTCGGGAATTATAAAAAAATTTTAAAACCGAATTATACTTTTCTTTTGAATATAAAATTGGAAGAAGACGTGATTTTCTACCGAATAGGTAAAAGAATGAATATTTTTATGAATGTTTTTCTATGAAATATAATTGAATTTTCAAGGGCATTAAAAATCAATGTGAAAATTGCATAATACATAAGTAGTCATTTTTTGCAGAGTATAAATCTTGCATGCTGCCGAAAATAAGTTCCTTCGCAAGCCGACACCCTGCAGTAATTGGATCAATATAGGTTTGTGCTGCAACCTTATTAGTTTTACAACATCACTTAATTTATATTCACGAAACAAGAACGCATTTCAAAATTTTGGTTAACATTTCATGATTTAGCACATCTACTGTAATAACAGTAAAGTAGATCGGGAATTTCGAATTCGGTTTGAAATTTTCGAGCTCCGACGGATTTGCCGTTCCCGAGATTTCTGCCGACTGGACGCTCTGAAGGCCTATTTGGATTAAGAAACTG